AATAAGAGATGAGTTGTTGTCAGTAACAATAATGTCATCAACATAAAGAAGCAAATAGATAAGGTTAGATTGCTGATGAAAGACAAAAAGGGACGTGTCAGCGCGACTGCAAGAAAACCCAAGTGTGAGAAGAAATGAGCTAAAACGCTGAAACCTGGTGCGAGAAGCTTGCTTTAAGCTATAGAGGGCTTTATTTAATAGACAAACATGAGTGGGAAATCGATGATCAATATACCCAAGAGGTTGTTCCATATGAACACGTTCAATAAGAGTTCCATTGAGAAAAACATTCTTGACATCAAGTTGTCGAATAGGTCATTTATTTGTAACTGCAATAGAAAGCACAACACGGACAGTGGTATCTTTGACAATCGGACTGAAAGTGTTAGTGTAGTTAAGACCAGAAACCTGAGTATAACATTTGGCAACAAGACGAGCCTGGAAACACTCGACGGATCCATCAGGCAAATATTTAATACGAAACACCAATTTAGAGCCCACAATGTTGGTGTTGGCAGGGCGAGGAACCAAAGTCCAAGTATCATTTTGTTGTAACACTCGAATTTCTTCACCCATGGCAGCAGCCCAAGTAGGATTCTTAGTCGCAGATTTGAATCCTTTTGGCTCAGTGGATGCAAGAAGAGTAGAAAGAAGTCCAGATGAGCCCAAAATACCAAGATTTGCTGGATGACGAGTCTTGAATATACCAGCTTCGGCTTATGTGATCATAGGATGAGTGCCCAAAGAAGAAGAATCAACAGTGGGTTCAATAGAGGTCGAATTAGAAGTCGAGGGTGTCAAAGTGGAACCTGCAAGAGAAGTATCAACCTGCACTGACTCATCCACAAGTTCAGAACAAATATCATACGGGGATTAACTGGATCGAGGAATGTGCGATGATGAAGTGGTAGGGGGAATGAATCAATATGATAAAGATGTGGTTCCAAAAAATTTGAAATAGGAATAGAGGAAAGAGGTTGGGTCTGGGAGTTAGGGATAGTAGGAAAGTAAGTTTCATCAAATTGAGCATGGCGGATGATATATAGCTTAGTGGTGGCGGGATCAAGACAGCGAAACTCTTTATGAGCAGGACTATAACCCAAAAAAATACAAGGAATGCTGCAGGGAGAAAGCTTGTTAGGCATATATAATCACGCAAATAAGGATAAACACGACAACCAAAGGGATGAAAATTGTCATAATGTGGAGTGTAGCCATAAAGGAGTTCAAAGGGTGACTTACCTCCAAGAAGTGGAGTAGGCAACCGATTGATAATATAAGCTGCAAAGCTAAAGACGTCAACCCAAAAAACGAGGAAAAAGATGAGAGTGAAAGAGAAGGGCCAAGCCAGTCTCTGTCACATGGCAATTTCTTCTCTCAGCACGACCATTTTGAGCAGGTGCACATGGACAAGAGAGTTGATGGTGGATGCCAGAATTACGTAAATGAGTTTTGAAACAAGTGCTAGTAAATTCGGTACCTCCATCGTTTTGAAATACCTTAATACGAGAAAAATATTGATTTTCCACAAATTTTTGAAATTGAAGAAAAATATCAAAGAAATCATATTTAGATTTTAAAGGGTAAAGCCAAGTGAATCGAGAATAATCATCAATAAAATAACATAATAAAGAAAACCCGAATTTGATTTGACAGGAGGACCCCAAAGATCACAATGAATAAGATCTAACACATGAGACGACCTACGTTCATTGCAAGAATAAGGCAATCGATTACTTTTTCCAAGTTGACAAGTATTACATAATGATGGAGAAGGCAATAAAGACGTAAGAGAAAGATACCTTTTCTATTTAAAAAAGAAATAACAGAATGATTCACATGACCCAGGCGAACATGCCATAAATCATATGAAACATGTAAAAATTGAAATAAAAGCAGAGTTGTTGCACTCCAGCACATATAGCCCTCTATCTTTTTTACCGGTTGCCACCACCCTTCCTATTTGACGATTCTGGATAGTAATAAGATTATTAGTAAATGTAATGGAGAGAGGAAAATCAGACGTTAATTTACTTCTGGAAAGAAGATTTTTAGTGAGATGAGGGACAACCAAGACATCTAATAAGTGAATATTTGGAACAGGAGAAAGAGTACCGGTGTGGGTAATGGGTAGGGATACACCGTTTCCTACGATCACAGAGTTCTTACCCGTGTACTTTTTAGACTAATCCAAAATAGATGGGTTAGCAGTCATATGGGCCGAAGCCCCAGTGTCTAGAAACCAATCAGCAGCATCGAGTCCAGCAATAGAACATGACGTGTTAAAGGCTTCAGCAAGGTGAGCATGAGAAGAATCAGGTTGAACATACCGTTGGTTGCAGCAGTCAGCATAATGGCCCTCTTTACGGCATATTTTGCAGTGAGGTGGTCGATGACCCTGACCTGAGTGGGTTCGTTCTCGATTGGAAGAGTTTTTTTTTTTTTTTTTGTGAGAATAAGAACGACTTCGCTGGTTGCTAAAGGAAGTAGGGTGGCTTCCATGGGTGCAACCACGATTAGTGGCTGTGAATGCTGTAGGAGTGGAGTTAGAGGACTCAAGGGAGCGCTGGAACAACTCAAAACTTTCAGCTTTAGAGACTAAATCTGCAAAACAGGGGATAGGGGGGAGAATCATCTGAGCAGTAGAAAAAGTTGAAAATTCAGTGCTGAGTCCATGAAGGAATCAGTGCACTTTATCAATGTCCTCGACGGGTCTGCCAATGGTATGAAGTTGGTCACAAATTGTTTTGAAGGCACGGGCATACTCAGCAACAGGTTTGGTGCCACATTTCATCAGCTGCAAGTCATCCTTGAGTCTCAGTTCATGAGCTTTCGAATGATGGTTGAACGTAGTTTCTAATGCAAGTCAAACATCACGTGCAGTAGAGAGACCAACGACAACAGTCATGGTTTCCTCAGTGAAAAAGGAGAGTAGGAGATAGAGAAGTCGTTGATCGGTTGCTCTCCACGCCAAATATTTGGAGTTGATTGTTGAGGAGGTTTTTGGTTCAAAGCGAGGTAATGGAACCATAGTTCCATCAATATAGCCCAGCATGTCTTGACTCTCAAGAAGAGGGAGAAGTTGGGTTTTCCAAAGAAGATAATTGGCGGAAGAAAGTTTGATGATGATCATATGGATTAGAGTATTAAAAAGAAGAAGATGAAAGAGGATTCGGAAGCCATGGAGAAGAAAGGATCAGGGTTGTTAAACCGAAAGGGCTTTGATACCATGTAAATGTTTGCTGAATCCACCACACCTAAATGGTGGTAAGAGTTCTCTTATTGATAGTCATTTACATAATAGAGAAATATGGTAAATTACAAATAATATAAAAATACCAATAAGAAGAAAGAATAATAAATGAGTAAAATATATTTGCCTTTAATAAAAGGGCAAATATGGTAAGTCGTAATGATATTTGCCTTATAATGAACGGTCAACTATCCTTAACAATCGAACATATCAAACATATCATAAATACGACACTTGCTGGGCCACTGGGCACATGTCATCATAGATAAAGTAATTCTTCCAATCAACCGATAGTAGAGCCACTTACATGGTTGACCAAGACAAAAGCTACGACCCCTTAATGCTAATTTAAGACTGCTCTCTGAAATTTAATTCTACTTAAAGGAGTTTTTTTGACTCACATCATTTTGCATAAAATAATTTAAACTGGTAAACATTTTTTTTTCATAAAATAATTTAAACTTTACTCCAAATAATATAAACCAGCTAAATCTAATTTTGGATAAAATAATTTAAAATTGAGTACAAAGATTTAAACTCACTAAAAGTAGTCATATTAATCTTAATGCTTTCCAAGAGTTGAAATTAGTAGGAAAAGGTCCGAACGTATCAGACTCAAGCCGAACCAACCAAAATGTCGGTCTAGAGCCATAAAAAAGTATTCCTTGTCTGGCTTCAAATCGTTAAGTGGGATGAAGGGAAGCAAAAAACCTCTCTTTTATAATATAGTCCAACTCCCACTTTCTCAACTTAAGCGATGTGAGACAACTTCCTTCCTTTCTTGTTTTGTGGCGAGATATGTTACTACCGCTACAATAGGATTAGCATTGAAATTGGATTGAAAAATGTCAAATAAAGGTCCAACGAGAGGTAAAATAACTCAGCATGAGCCTCACACTCAACCAAGAAGAGTCATATGCATGCAACTCTGACTTTCAATATGGCATGAATCGAAATATCTTTTGATAATTTAAATAACATTTTCTTTCGCATCTTCTTTAAAGTATATTGTATGATTGATATTTCTTAGTTCATATTATAAAACCTCTTTAAATAATTATTTTTATATTTTTACATTCTTCCCTCACATCCTATTAGTCAATTAATTTACATTAACAATATTTTTTCTAATAAACAAATAATATTAATCTATTCTCATGCTACATATAATCTTTATATGAAATGAAAGTTTAATATTCAATGGTTGCTTATTATCTTATTAGAGTAAAGTATTTTAATTACTTTTAAGTTGATGTAAATATAATTTTTCCTTAACATTGAGATTGAATTCATTATTACTAAATATGTAATAAAAAAAAGAAAATAATATAAAATAGTGCAAAAAGTCAAGACTTTTAACTAGAGAAAGTAATAAACACCTACCAAATTAAGAATAGTTTGGCAAATAATATCTCAAAATTTGATAATTTGATCCTCTTTTATCAAAATTTTCAAGCTAAAAAAACGTGAAGCAATGAGTACCATATTTTTTTTTTAGATTGAATTAGTCTATGCAATTAAGTTTAAATTCTAGAATGCATCAAAATATTTTGAAATTAAATTTCACTTTTGTAACTCAAAAGCACGGAGCTCGACAACATATATGGCGATAGGATTTCCTTGCAAAATAATGTTATATCAACCAGATTTGTAGTTTTCTATGACCATAGAAACGTTAAAATCTCAAATTCATATCTTTCTCATATCTTCTCCTATATAAAGATTTCTACGATTTACTGCTTTCCCACCCAAACAAAGCAAAACTTCTCTCATTCTTTAGACTACCATACTCATTTTTCAATAAAAAATGGTAGAAAAGTCATTGAACGCATCCATAGTGAAGTTAGTCCTTGGATTCATTGCCTGCATAGTCATTTTAGCATCATCAATAATGGCGACAGCACCTAGTCCATCTTTTCCTTCCGATTTATCTCTTTCTGATTGTGAATCTTTTATTACAGAGGCAGCAACGTGTATGGTAAATGTGATCAAGCTTCAAACTGGTGATCATCCTTCTTGTTGCAAAGCTATTTCTTATTTGAACGAATGTTCACCGGAAGTTTTCAAACATATTCCCGCTGATGACTTGGTTGCCATTAAAAAAACTTGTGATTTGAAGAATTTCTTAAATATTTTCAACTCCTTACTCAAGGCGCTAAAAATGTCTAAGAGAGGAAAAGAGGTAAATTTTGATTTATGAAAACAAAAACAATACTTCGTCAATTTTTCTTTTACAAGTTTATTATTGGTGTCTATATATTCTCTTCCTTCTCTACTTGGAATTCAAGAAATTTCCAGCAACTTACTTACCTCTACCAATAATAATATAATTATATTTGTTTTTTTTTTTCAAGAGAAAATTATTATTATAATTTTACTATATTCATAACAACGATGTTATGGATACAGTCGTTGGATGATAGAAGTCCCACATCCGCTAATTTAGGGAATGATCATGGGTTTATAAGTGAGGAATACTAACTCCATTGGTATGAGGCCTTTTGGGGAAGCCCAAAACAAAGCGATGAGAGCTTAGGCTCAAATGACTAAGACTCCAAAGAAGTCGAGCCTCGATTAAGGGGAGGCACACTTTGTTCGAGGGGAGGTGTTGGATGATGGAAGTCCCACATCGGCTGAGGCCTTTTGGGGAAGCCTAAAGCAAAGCCATGAGAGCTTAGGCTCAAAGTGGACAATATCATATCATTGAGGAAAGTCGTGTTCGTCTAAAAAAAATGGAGATTTATCATGTACTACTTCTGTGAACATAGCAAGTAGAGAAAATAAGAAGAAAATTAAAAACAAACAATATAAAATTATTCATTGACCAAAAGCAAAGACAGAATCCATTGATTTTGTTACTATATATGTTTGTAGAGATACTAAATTTAGGTTCTATGGTCTCCATTGGTCTTTGACCCATTGTTAGCAGAGTACAACCTTAATTGAGTTTCATTGATGAGTTCACTCTATGAACCGGACTCCTGAAGAACCAATAAACTAGATAATGAGCATGTTTCACATTCATTGAAGAATGAAGAAAATTAAGTCAAAACAATTTAGCTTTAGACCACAAATTCAATCTCTAAGGTGTTGCAAATTTCAAACTTATCGCTAAACTTTTAAATTATAATAGTTTTTAAACTTCAAATTTATTTGTCTATTAAGTGTTTCATATGTTCAAACTTTTTAAGAATTGACTGATATACTAAGTATAATATTAAAATTTATCTTTAATATAATTCTAAAGTTTTAGTATCAAGTAGGTCAATAGTTTTATAGAACATCAAATATGTTAATGGTATCATCTACAAGATATTAAAATTTCAAGAACTCAGTTGGACAAATGAAATTTTGAAGATTATTTAAAACTCCAAAACCCTAAGTAAGCTTAAGACACCGAAGGGTCAGTTTTTCAATTTTTAGTATACTTGTTACATATTTAACTCCTTGCGGAGACATAATTTCAAGGATCAAGAAGGAACAAGTGAATAAAAATGGTAAATAATTTTATAATAAAGTATTCAAAAGTGATAAATTACTAAAATACTTCTCAAGATTAAGTTGGTTACAAAATGCTATGCTCTTGCACTAAATCTTGAGCCCATATTTTGTTTTAGAACACGACCAAACCTATAAAATTCATCATATGAGAAACAAAAAGTTCATATGATCTAAAAAATATCTTCAAATCTAACTTTTTTTTTTTTTTTTTAAATGTAGTTGGCAACACCTTAACTCGAGTAGATTTTTCTTACGGACTTTTCTTAATAACTTGAGTAAATGTAGTTGGCAACACTTTAACTCGAAGCCTATAAATAAGAGAGCTGAGAGAGTCTTATGAAACCAGTATAAGACTTAGAGTAATAATTTGGAGCATCCATGCAGAGTCATCCTTCCAAAATAGATTTTTTAGCTTAATAGGAAGACGATGAAGAGATTTCAGGAAGGAATCATGAGATAAGGTCTAGATCACCCCAACAAATAAGGAAAATCTGGATTTTTCAAGGTTTGTCTCTTGAGCTCGTCCACAAAAATGTATGAAAATAGTCCCTACTCCTTCCTAGCAACCCAATCTTTTAAGTTTCATAAAGCAACAGTAGCCAAATAACTACTCTATAGGGATGTAAAGGTCATTTTCAGGCATAGAAGCAAATTGGGCAGGTGTCTTATTCCTCTATTTTGTGGAAGAAGACGATGACGTGGTCAATCCAATTGAGTCAACCGCACCCATCCACATTTGACCCAACCTTAGTTTTTCTTCAAATAAAATTTCTTCTAGATGAGTTCTCATAAGATTCTTTTTGGTTCTCGAAACTAAACTTTTTCAAGATTCTGTAGAAGAAAATTTGGAGCAATCCGAATACTGAAAGCTCAAGAATCAAGGAACCAAATTTGAGTGACGAGCTAAGTAACCATGATGAAAATTTCTTAAGATATATATTTATATCCTTTTATTTCATTATAAACCTTGACTTAAGTTAGAGTTTATGGATTATGCAAAAATTAAACCAAGAACCGTAATTTAAGTACCCAAACGGAACATTTTACTCGAGATTTAAGAAGCTTCTAAATAACACATCTAATGAACTCCGTTGTGCATTAAAATTTAATGGGGGACTTAATAAGACATGTTAAGAATAATATGATGTTTGGTGGTCACATGAGTCTGTTCATGGACTAAATCTTGGACAAGTGAACAATGACCAAAATGCCTCTACCATGTTTATGTGCTAGTTTAGGGAGCCAATCAACTCTAAATGGCCTAATATTTTTTATATGCCATATTTTTAAGGATATGAGATATTTAAAGTCATTAACTTATGACAAGAATTAAGGATATAAAGGCCAAAATGCCCTAAAATTTTCTTATCATATTTTATGGTCCAAATAACCTCAGAATGATTTAATATCTTAACTATGACTCATATATAAGGTGTCACGATCCGATTTTCGAGACTTCAGAAATCGAATGGAGACTTAAAAGATGAAAGTGAAAACAAATAAAATTAAAAATAAGATAAAATAGATGTTAAAAATATGATTAAATTAAAAACAAGAAGAAAACATGTCTAAAGTCTAGGTGGTTACTTACCAGAATGAAGCTTATACTAGCGATCCCTACAACTATCACTTGCCAAAATTCCAAGTGGTTACTTATCGAAATGAAGCGTGCCCTTCGAAGTTTGCTTTTCTGCTAGTTGGAAGCCCCAAATTTCTTGAAAGCTTGTTGGTAGGTCCTGAATCAAGTTAAATTTAGGTCATATTCAAAATCTGGACGGATTATGAACGTTCTCACTGACATACTACCCGATGTCCACCCCATTGTCTTTGCTAGCACCCGTTCCCCTCTAAAATTGATGTGCGATCTCATAATCCACCCCTTTCGAGGCTTAGCATCCTTGCTAGCACTTGTTCTCCTCTCCAAACGATGTTGTTCTCCTATCATATCGATGCGGAATCTCACAATCTAGCACCGTTCAGGGTATAGCATCCTCGCTGGTATACTACTTGGTGTCTACCCTAGTTTGGGGCACAACATCCTCGCTGGCACACTGCCAGGTGTTCACAAATCCACCTCTCTTTGGAGCACAACGTTCTCACTAGCATACCGCCTGGTGCCCAGCCCCTTTGAGACCCAACATCCTCGAGTGCATACCACTCGATGTTCACTCACTTTGAGGCCTAGCGTCCTTGCGTGCACTTATTCTCCTCTCCAATCCATGTTGTTCTCCTCTTTAGCCGATGTGAGATCTCACAATCCACTCTCGTTCGAAATTCAGCGTTCTCGCTTCCATACCGCCAAATGTCCACCCCTTTGGGGCCTAGTGTCCTCGCTAGCACACCGTCTGGTGTCCACCCCCAGCATCCTTTCTAGCACTCGTTCTCCTCTCCAATCGATGTGCGATCTTACAATCCACACCTTGCTGACATACCGCCTGGTATACACCCTCCTCCCCCCCCCCTTTTGGGACCAGCATTCTCTCTGACACATTGCTTGGTATCCACACCCCTACGAGGCCTAGCGTCCTCGCTGGTATACACCTGGTGTCCACCACCTTCGAGGCCTAATGTCCTTGCTAGTACATTGCCCGACGTCTACCTCTACCTCCTTGCTGACACTCGTTCCCCTCTACAATCGACGTTCTACCCTATCTAGTAGATGTGGATCTCAAAATTCACCCCCCTTTGAGGCCCAACGTCCTTGCTAGCATATTGTCCCACATCCACCCTCTTCGTGGCCTAGCGTTCTCGCAAGCATACTTTCTAGTATCCACCCCCTTGGAGGCCAACGTCCTTGCTGACACTCGTTTCCCTATCCAATCGATGTTGTTCCCCTCTCCAATCGATGTGGGATCTCACAATCCACCTCTATTCAGGGCTCGACATCCTCGCTGGCATACCTCCCAGTATTCACTCCTTTTGAGGCTTAGCGTCCTCGTTAGCACACTACCCAATGTCCACGCTCGGAGTCCTCACTGACACTCGTTCTCCTCTCCAATCGATATCTTTCATCTCCTAAACCAATGAGGGTTTTCACAATCTACTCCCGTTCGGAGCCCAAGATCCTTGCTGACATACCACCTGGTGTCCACCCCCAGCATCCTTATTGACACTTATTTTCCTATCCAATCGATGTCATTCCCCTTTCCAATCGATGTGGGATCTCACAATTCACCCATCTTCGTGTCTCAACATCCTTGCTGGCGTACCGCTTGGTGTCCACCCCTTTTGGGTCCTGCGTCATTATCCTCTCTAATCGATGTCGCTCCTCTCTCCAATCAATGTGGTATCTAACAATCCACCCCCGTTAGTGGCCCAACGTCCTCACTAGCACACCGCTCGGTGACCACTCCCCTTCGAGGCCCAGTATCCTCATTGGCATACTGCTTGGTGTCCACCTCCTTCGGGGCGTAGCGTCCTCGCTGGCACACCACCTAGTGTCCACCCCCCTTTATGGCTCAACGTTCTCACTCGCACACCAATCGTGTCTTGCTCTGATACTATTTGTAATGGCCCAAGCCCACCGCTAACAGACCTCTTTGAGCTTCCCCTACAAAATTTTAAAACATGACTGCTAAGGAGAGGTTTTCACACCCTTATAAAGAATGTTTCGTTTTCCTCCCCAACCGATGTGGGATCTCATAATTTATCACCCTTCGAGGCCCAGCATCCTCGTTGACACTCGTTCCCTTAAAAAATCATTAGCCTCTCCAATGTGGAACATAGCAGTGTTCAACTCTCACATTTTGTTTCATATCTCTTAAAAATAGGTTGGCCTTTTTTATCTATATATCAAATCAAGTCACATTGAATGGTGAAAAGTGATGATCAATCGATATATTTTTGTTTCAGTTATTTTATAAGGTCTTAAATTTGTTTTACTCCATTGAACGCTAATAAATATTTCCCATGGGCAATATGAAAAAGGAAAATAGTTAAGTTTTGATGAATCTTTCTTTGCAAAAGTTAATTATTTGTGTGGTAAATATTCTTTTTCTTCTCTATTTGGAGTTCAAGGAATTTAATTTTTTTTAGAGAAAATTTAGTACCTTTGAACTTTCTAACTATCCCTTACAACTAAAAATCTACACATTCGTTCTTTTTTCAAAGAAAAACATTATTATTATTTTATCATATTGCCAACAACAAACTTCATAAAAGAAGAATGAAAATTATATTTTAATCAAAATATATTACTTTTAGCATCGATAATTTTTTGTTTGGTAAAAATGACTTTAATAAATTACGAAAATATGAAATAAAATATGAAGATAAAGCCAAAATAAAATAGTTGAGCCCTAATCGACAAAAAGTCAAAAGTTTAAATTTTCTTTTCTTGTACTCCATATAAATCCATAGAAAAAGTATCAAAATATGAATTCAAATGCAGTAAGTTTAACAAATTGAAAGAAAAATAGGAACAAACAAAATAAAATTATTCACCATTAACCAAAAAGAGAAGAATGCATTGATTAAGATTTAGTTACTCTTTATGTTTGTAAAGATACCAAATTTAGATTCACAAAGTTCTTTAATGAGATTACAAGTTCAATTTCTTTCTCTAAAATATTTAAAATATTTAACATTAATTTATTAGATATAACTTAAATTTTATATTTAAAAGAATTCCAAATTTGAATTTAGTATTGGGTAGGTCGGTCAAATAGGAAAATGAGGACATCATGGACAAATATGAAAATTTCAAGAACTCAGATGGACATGACATTTAAATTTCAAGGATTCATTTAAACACAGATTTAAGGATCATTAGACAATTTTTAGAATTTGAAAATAAATAAGGCCTTCTACTTGCTTGTCATGTGCAAATGTTGATTTGGACATGGAAAGGTATAAGTTGAAGAATGCATCCAGAATAACTTAGTTCACCGAACCGTTTGAGAAAGCTATTCTCATCTAAATTCAATTACCTTGTCATGGGTTTGAAGATTTTCTTATTTACTATCCTCGTATTAACTTGAAGAGGTTAAAAACTGCTCAAATTGATTGTGTTATTCTTAAAATAATAGATATCTTAAAATTGTCGTGAGTGTTGATAGGTTGAGATCTCAACTTCACTTGGTTTAATCAGGGATCTCCAATTTAGGTGAGCTAACTGTCGAGGCTGAGGCTCAGACTTATATTTGGATTCTGAGTGAGGTATGGGCGCGAGGCTAATATTTTTTTTATTTTTTTTTCCTACAATAGTTTTTCTCTCCTTTTCTCTTCTATTTATGCCGACTTTTGACTACTTTTAGTCAGGTCTCAACCCTCTTTTAATAATTGATTTATGATGGAATTTTCTACCATACATAAATTAATTTCTATGGTGACCCGAATTTTGATGTTTCAAATCTTGGACTATAACTAAAAAGGTAAGATTAAAAGAAAATAAAAATAAAAGATAAAAATAGAGTAAAATACCAAATAAAATCCAAATTTTGGCTTATTGCTAAAATTCATTACAAATGAAAAAACAGTGTTAGGGATACAATTTTAAAAATAAATAGAAAAGACTGAAATTATAAAAATTGACTTTGGTTTCTGACCCTTCTATCTATAAATGTGTAGCTCTCGAACGTTCTTCTTCTACCTCAATCGACAGCCTGGGAACATCTGAAAAAGAAAAGGAATGAGAGAATGACTTACATAATTTTTAAGAAAGGTTTCTTAAGCAAACATTTGAATTCAAAATTAAAAAAAAATTATTGATTTATTTTGGAGTTGCTATCCCATAGAAAAAAATAATCTGATTGCCCGCCGATCAATCTCATTTTTATTTCCCATTTCATGGACCAAAACCTTTTTAATTAATTATTTTTATATTCTTACATTCTTCCCTTGCATTCTATTAATCAATTAATTCCACTAATAATATCTTTTTCTAATAAAAATATAATATTAATCTATTCTCATGCTACAATAAATCTTTATATAAAATTAAAGTTTAATATTTAATTATGCTTGTTAGCTTATTAGCATAAAATATTTTAAATCTATGTAAATATATTTTACTTAATAATTATTCTTCAACATTAAATAATATATTCATATTGAACTTATTATTACTAAATATCTAATAAAAAAAGAAAGCATTATAAAATAGTGTAAGAAGTCTTACTTTTAACTAAAGAAAGTAATAAGCAATTACCAAATTGAGAATAGTTAGATAAACAATATCTCCAATGTTGATAGGCAGTGTTTATATGGCTTTTTAGTTGAAGTCTTATATTTTAACTTAACTTTTGAGGTGTACTTTGATTCTTACCTTACAAGACAATGTTTTGGTAGCAAGATTTGTAACCAAAATAACATTACGCCAGTTAGATTTGTAGTTTTCTACGGCCATAAGACGTTGAAACCCCACGTTCATATCTTCCTCATATCTTCTCCTATATAAGAACCTCCACGATTCATTACCTTCTCATCCAAACAAAGCAAAACTTCTCCACCATATTCATTTTTCAACCAAAAATGGCAGGAAAGTCATTGAACGCATCCATAGTGAAGTTAGCACTTCTATCCATCGTCTGCATAGTCATTTTAGCACCATCAATAATGGCGGTAGCACCTGATCCATATGATCCTTCGAATATATCTATCTCTGGTTGTGAATCTTTCATTAGAGACTCTGCAGTATGTATTGTAAGCGTGATCAAGGCTCGAACCGGTGATCATCCTTCTTGTTGCAAAGCTATTTCTGATTTGGACACATGTTCTCATTTTCTTTACAAACATATTCCCGATGCTGACATGGCTCCAGCTAAGAAACTTTGTGGTACGTAAGGGATTTTAGTTTTTGTGGACTCCAAGTTCTCTATGTTAATTGGAGTTTGAAAAATAAGAAGGTTATCCAATAATAATAAGTTTTTATTTCTAAACTACTATGTCGTTATAAACTTATGAGAGAATGAATTTTCTTGAAGAGGAAATGTGCTTCCTTTCCATGAGAATGAACGTCTTTTTCACAAATTGTTGAACTTATGTTATTCTCTTTAAGTCTTTAATGCACTCCAAAGAGAGATGATTTGTCAAATAAATTTAAAAATGTTAAATACTAAATGCACTCATCACAATTTGTTCATGTAATTTTTAATCGATATATTTTCATTTATATTATTTGATTCAAGATCTTAAATATTTTTAGCTTCTGAGTCTTATGTGATAAAAAAACTTGTGATAAAAAAACTTAAAATGAGATTGTATAATTCTGATGACCAATGTTGCTACTCGACTTGGACCTCATCTTTGAAGTCCAAAGTAATTTATCATCTCTTGGGTGGTCCTTCATCCAGAATGTTTAATATCCATAAATTCATAAATGGTGTAGTGCGCCCATCGCTCTATCGAAAGTCAATAAACTTGAACTTAATCTCTGACCGCTCCAACCAAAACCTTGTAAAAATAGCTTCAATAGCTCTTTTCTTAAGGTTGTGAATCTTACCTTTTCAACATGGCAACTTAGTAAAAACTTCCATAGGGGTAATGTCTAAGCAAACTATATTGTTCGAGCCTACAATATGGTCTGCCTTGAGGCATGCTCTATTTTTTCTAATTTTTTCTAGGTCTTCTATGTGATCTTTTCAAAGGTATGCTTTGCTACATGAGTTATAGTGACCAAAGGCTAGGCCATATGTACCAAGCCTTAATCCATCTCATTCTCACATCCATACGTTGGACGTCTTTCACTCTCCAACATCAACTCTCTATTTTTTAAAGGCCAATCTACTATCCTATTATTGCTTTTGGCCTCATCACGGTATCAAAACACTATAACTCGTTTCCAGCATTAACTAATAGAATTATCATTCATTATTTAATGCCCTAAGATATTATCCTAACTACCACGTAACCAGAGATAAATATCAAGTTCATATAGGTTTAACAATATATCATAAACTACTAACCAAGGTTAGATTACATACCTGGTCATGATGAGGCGTATCACTCAGATGAGTCATAGAGGTCTGCAACTCTCTATCCATAGAAAAAATCAACATAAACTAAAACTCCACTTCTCTAATAACAATTTGCCACGTCTCAATTTTATAAGCTTTAAAGAGAGACTTATAAGGTGAAGGTGAAGGTGAAAACAAATAAAAATAGAAAGTAAATCAAATAAAATAAAATAAACGTTGTAAAACTTTAATCAAAATAATTAAAAAAAAAAATTAAAAAAAATTAAAAAAAAATTAAAAAAAAAAAAAAAAAAAAACCTACAACACCACAATAAGATAAAAATTAGAATACTTTAGAAGAGGGTGGTGTTAAAATTTATTAAAAATGAAAAAAAAAGGGTTTGGAATAAAGTTACCAAACATAAAAGACTCGAATACAAGACTTTTCTTTAGGTATAGTTTTAGAAACCATAAAGAAATTCACGAACAAAGAATTTCAAATTGATAAAAAACTGCAGAGAGATCAACATATGGTGGCTGAATTTTATTGGTCAAAGTTTGACATTTGACTTTTGACTTCATCTTCTTACTTGAGTTGGGTGGAAAATCATGATTTTTTATTATCATGTACCTTTAGGTTTTTTCTTGTACAATTCTATATAGACTTCAAATGAACTTGATTTCTTCACAAAACGTTTAGATGGAGTTTTAAAGAAGAATTAGAGACAAATTTCATAGTTTTGTGATCCGTAGCTCGAGTTATAATCTTCCAAAGTTCGCTACAAAACATGTTTTTAGCCCAAATAACTCATAAATCTTTTGGCTAGGCAATCAATTCTAGTGCTTCTAAAGATCCAATTTCTTCATAAAACTTGTTGAAAATCACATCTAGAATGTGTAGGAGTTGGTAGGAGGGAAAATGATTAATCATAGTCATTGAATTAAAAAAGAAAAAAAGAAAAGAAAAGTGCATAATCTATAAACTTTAAACTCAAGTTTAAGAAATCCTCATCACCCGTTCTTTGTCTTAAAACATTGTTGAGAAACTTCTTATTTATGATGAAGCTTTCACCACCGAGGATTGTTCTAGAATAGTTTCTAATTTTCTCTTTTTTTTTTTTTTTTTTAGATTTTTCTAGAATTTGTGTCGAAAATATTTAATTAAATGAGAGTGCGGTCGACATTGATTTTGAATTTCAATAATTGGATTCAAAGAAGGTCGAGTCTTCTTGAAGATATTCAAAGGTTGGATCTCATGATAGGGATGATTTTGGAACCAAATCTTCTTGCACATTTTCTTCAATGGTAGTTTCGTAATTAAATGAAACTTCAGAGGTATTTTTGTAATTTGCCACATTGATTGTTTTATTATTATTTTTTCTGAAAAAAAAAAAACCAAAATTTTTCTAAAAGTTTTTCTTCTTTTAACACATTGAAATTCTTTTTCCCCTAAGAAATTAAAAATCTCTAAAGTTCAGTCAAATTTAGAAAANTGACTTTTTTTTTTTTTTTTTTTTTTTTTTTTTTTTTTTTTGCTTTATAAAGGTTGTTAAGTCCATGTTTTGTACGGTAAATGGTAGGGGTACTGTGTCTTTGGGAACAAGTACAATAACTAAAAATGAAGTCAAAAAATTCGAGTGAGGAGACAAGAAGTTAGAGCGAGCACTAAAGATCTTCGAGAGTAAGATGGAGAAGTGGACGAGTGGCGCATGTGGAAAAGCTTAGGCGAGGAAGGCATGGCATAAAGCTAAGCGTCAAAGAGCAACCCAACTAAGCTTTAGATTATATGGAATCGAAATGTAAACAAAGATCGATAATGGATCATTCCGATCCCAGTTTTAGATCTAAAGAGTTTCTGGTTTTTTTCTTGTTTTTGTTTTCCTATTTGTTAGGGGACTTACATGTTTTAAAACATCAAAACAAGGTAAAGAAATACTCGATAAAACATTAAAATTAAAAACACCCTATACTAACCTAAAGTCTAAGAAATGGAATGCCACTATGCTCTGCATGTGCCATGATTTTTAGTTACAATGTCGTCGTCAACGATATAGAGGTGTCTTGCCTTTACTTGAAATAGAAGTAGTACCAGCTTGAGTAGGAAATACTTAGTAAATGACCCCACTATTGAGATTAGAGAATGCAAATACATGCAACTCAGGATTAGGAACCTATCATTAAAATCATCATAGGGGATGATCGCCAATCTGGACAAAATTGGATGCATAGTACTTCCGTACACACGACCCACATGTGTGAGCGCGGATCCATAGAAAGTTCGCACCCCCTGGACCCACTATAGTCGAGTTAACTGTCTGTAGCAACGTCTTGAGAGTAGTAGATCTCCGAATATCATACGAGACATGATCATCATCATAGTGTACGCATCCATACTCATCATCATAAATAGGAAAGTAACCCGACGTATATGAACACACAAAATCCATCAGTTTTCTATAGTTTTCATCTTTCAAAAATCTTTATGACACAACCCTATACATTTTTCACACATTACCCTAGGTAACAAGCGTGCATTGGTTTTCGTATGTTCATCATCATTAACATCATTAGGGTTGTGTCTTACAAAACTCATCATCATAATGTTTCAAGATATTTAATACATGCTCATCATCTTAATCTAGAATAACATCGTATTAAGTCATCTCATCATCATGCATTTTACATCCTCATGTTATCATGCATCATCGTCATATCATCACATTATGTCATCATCTCATATCATCATATACATCATCACATCATCATGTAATGTCATCACATCCTTATATAACATCATCACATAACATCATTACATCATTATATCATCATATAACATAAAGCATAAATGACACGTGTCATTGTACATCAGGCAAGTCTTACAGTCAAACCCATAATAACGCCACTTAATTAATCTTACCTAAGTTTCTATTGATGGTGTTAATATAACACATGCGGAAGCAATTTGAATCTTAGGCACTTTTAGAACATCAATTATTTAAATAACTAGCATGTTCATAAGTATTAAAACTTAATGAGTTTAAATACTAACCTTTTGTAGTTCAAACTCCTTTTGCCTCACGAACCGGTTTCGAACCACCACTAGTGTCTTCTCCACTATCCTCCGACCTTAGAACGGGATTGTGGAATCCGGTGAGTGACTAAACTTGGGAGGGATTTTGTATATGTGAAAGAGAGTGTTTGTGAGAGGTTTTTCTCAAGGTTTTTCATGAAGATGAAGAATCCCTTCCAAGTATCATGATCACTCTATTTAAAGAGTCAAGTTTGCATGTTCATGCAAACTTGAGATCACCAAATTTTAACACTTAAAATTTTACTCAAAATGTTTGGGATGATGTGGCAAGCATGCATGTTTGAGTTAACCAAATTTTGACATTCAAAATTCCACTCGAACTTGTGGGGTTTATTTGGCAAACATGCAAGTTTGGTTAAACCAAATTTTGACACCTCAAAATTCCACTAACATGGATTTTTACATTAGATGAAAGTCAACATTTTGACTTTCTTCATTTTAATTCAACAATTAATTTGAATAATGAATTTCAAATTAAAGTAACATTAAATGATTAATTAAACTATTTAATTAATATTTAATATTAATTCAAATGCCAATCCCAATCAATTCCGACACATAATTGATTAAGATATTTAAATCTTATTTAAATATCTCAGATTCTCTCTTTTCGTTTAATTCGTAAATAAAACAAAATTGCGGTTAAATATATCGTATATATGTAACGCATATTCCCTAATTTGAATTCGAACACTTCGAACTCACTCGTCAGACTGTTCTATGGTTTAGTCCGATATGAGCTAGCAGAGGGACCTAATGGACCTATAGATCATGGGCTCCAACGATCCAAGATTAACCGATTAAACTCATTAACCTGGTTAACCAACATTCGTTAACTACTAGGACACTCCACTATAGCCTAGTAGTTGCACTCCCCTCACTATAGATATATTTTTGTCCATCTGATATAACCATGATTAGTAAGTCGATCCTTCACAGGTTGTTCGTAACTAGAGCTGGGTCAATTTACCGTTTTACCCCT